CTGAAAATATTAGGTGTGTCCCGCGCGCTCATATGACCTATGCAGTTGCGAGCGCCGTAAAACACTTTACAAAAACAAAAACACACATAGATTAATCTGAAAGTATTTAAAGTTAGTTAAGAAAACTTCTGAAGTCGTGTCGTTGTTGTTGTTGTTGTTGTTGTTGTTCATGAAATTTCCGCTTGTTTACTTTTTTGATGGGGCAGTCTGGGCTAGAAGGGGTCATGGTGAGATCGACGGAAACGAAATCATGAAAATTCCCGAACTGTAGATACAGAAGTGTACTATGACGTGTTGTCTTTTCCTCAAACATGTGCATCTAGCTTATGGTTATCATAATAAGTAATGGTCACTTGTATTCTTTTTCAATTATCAATATTGTTTTGTGCCTAGTATGTGACCTACTTGTTCTGTGTCTAGTTGCGTGACCTGTGACACGCTGTGTGACCTACTTGTTCTGTGTCTAGTGTGTCATTAACTAGATCTGACGTGATCTACTTGTTCCGTGTCTAGTATGCGACCTACCTTTCTTGTGTCCAGTTATGTGACCTACTAGAAGGCCTGATCCCGCCGTCCTCGGAGGACCGTAAGAACATGACCACAGAGTACCTTGAGCGACTGTTCATCTTTGCCCTCATGTGGAGCCACGGGGCGCTGCTTGAGCTGGACGACAGAGCCAAACTACAGGTGAGTTGAGCCAAACTACAGGTAAGCTGAACCAAACTGCAGGTGAGCTGTGCCAAACTACATGTGAGCTTAATCAAACCACAATTGAGTTGAACCAAACTACACCGCTAAATGCTTGCTACTGATTTTACGGTTCATTGTAAATGATCCCAAATGGTTTACCCATTTATTAATACCATGGAAAACAGGACTAATCCGGGTTGGTTGGTGGCGCAGTACTCTTGGAGACAGATGAATGTGCTTGTAGTTGTAGACTGTACAGTCTCCATCTATCTCTGGATCAGATACATATTATATTATGGGTACCCTGTTCGATGAACGGACTCAAAAGAATCGATCGTCAAGTAGTTGTGGGATGAGTGCGCACTCCTTGTGAACGGAAGCCTCACTTGCTTACAATGGCGTCTTAGAAGACGGACTTTCCAAAGATTAGATCTAAACGAAACTAATGAAAAACTGAAAATTAAACTACAGTGACTTCAGGCCCCTCAATAAAACTGTTTGTCCTTTAAATGATTCTGAACCACCATTCATTTTGTGAAATTCGAAAGTTAAGCGGTTCGGAAGTTTTAGGCGGCCAAAGTGACGAACTTTCATAAATGTAATGTATAGAGATAGAGATTATATTAATATATTGAAATTTCAGTTCTTAAATGCTGTCGGTGTTATCTTTCGTTTTCAAGAATTCATTATTAGGCATCACGTGTAGCTCTAAATGACATAACTTTTCCCCTTGTTTTCCCTCATTTGA